TAAGCTGAAAGAGTGTAGAGGTGCATGGCTATCAAACCTGCCTAAGCAAACTGGCAATCTGGCTGGTTCAGCCTTTCCCTGAAGAAGGCAGGAAGGAGGTGGTGCTGTGTTAGTAATGCTTGAGGAAGCCGGCGAGCTTGATGGATTACCAGTTCTTCCTATTGGGAGTTCATGGTTGTGCTTCCCCTCATAGGTTGTGATCACTGAATTGAGATCATGCGATGCCCGTTCCACGTGTTTGCGAACCGTGCAGCCCGGATTGGTGCACTTATAGTAACTCCTGAACAAAAAGTTGGTTGCTATTCTTATTAATGGATCTATAAGCAGAGATTTAGAACCTTTATATGCATTCAAATGTACTGATACAGCTAGGAGGGTAAGCTTCAACAATAGAGTTTAGTTTCGGTAGTATGGCTCTCAAATGATTGGTGTGAAATCTATTAGCATGATCTAAAAAAGGTCTGCAACCAAACTTTTTAAACTATAAATGTTTAGAGGAGTTCATCTTGAGTTTAGTGAATGCCAATTGGATGTTGTTGCATCAAAGTTTATCATTGACACTGGAGAAGTTGCAAAGCTCTCCCAGAGAATAAAAAAAAAAACACTTATTACACTTTGCTGTCATAAATTTATGCATGAAAATATATATTTCAGTAATAAAAAGGTAGTGCTAGTAGCATTTTTGATGTTATATTAAAGATTTCAGTGGTATATATGTAAATATGAATGCTTAGGAGTTAGATATGTAAATAAATGAGAATTGTGTCAAATGCATGTAAATGCCCCCCTTTTTGTTAATGAGTCGACTCCAAATGATTGGGATAAAGCTAATGATGATGATGAAGCCATCACTCTTTAACTACTAGCATTGCAAGGTCTACCAACATACCTTGGATTTGGATTTCCTTTAACCACCTTCTGCCCATATTTGCGCCAGCGATACCCATCTTCGAGTATATCTATTGCACTGGTTGTCTGAAATACAACTCTCGGCTCACGACCTGCTCTCGAAGCTGCACTCATTTCAAGTGCACAAGCATCTAGCTTCCTGATCCAAACCAAGCATTTATCAAACAATGTATCAGAATACCAAAATCAGAACACAAAAACAACTACAAAATTGACCTTCTTTTAGATTCAGTCTCATCTCCATCACCATCACCACTTATAGATCCACTTCCATGAGTCACCTGTTCATCCTCATCATCATTTGACAACAATGATGAAGGGTTAGATCGCTCACACTGTTCGACTGGAATGAAACCGTTTTGGTTAGCATTGAATTCGTCTTGACTGCATTCGTTCTGCTCTAAATCATCGATCTGGAAGTCATTCCCAGAGGGAGAAGACGAGAAAGAAGATCTGTGAATTGTGGAAGATTTGAAATGGTTATGACGTCCCTTGTAGATTATCTCTGTGATTTGGCCGTTGAGAGAGCGCTCCACCTTCTTCTTTGCCTCACAATTTGGATGAGTACATTTGTAGTAACTTCGAGGATATTCGCTCCCCTTCACCTGCTTCTGACCATACTTGCGCCAGTTGTATCCATCCTCGGCTGGAGCATCGAGAGAACTTGAAGTGTAATCTCCTTTTTGATTGGCATCAGCTTCTTGAGAATCATTTTCTTTAGACAATTTGGAAAACTCATCTTGAGGGTTGGGCTGCTGAGAATGGACATTCAATTCTGGCTGAGAATAACATAATTCATCAGAAATGGGAGTAAGATGATTTTATTTATAAGATATGGAAACTTTCAAAAGGATGCATCAAGAAAAAAATGCTCAGGAAATTACTTTTTCATTAAAATATAAATGCTTGGCAATCTAATGCAGCCTGTTGGACTGTAAAGCATAAAAATTTAAAAGAAGAATATAACAGGAATAATAATGTTTATTTATAGTGGAGATGAACAAAATATTTCAAAAAACAGTACTGAAACCATTAATTGTAATAGAAGCATACTGATGGATCAAGATAATAAGAGAATTTCAAGAAAAAATTTAATGTTTTTTTCCTACTCAGAGGTCTAATAAATAATTGTCAAGCACACATAACATCAATAAGAAAAAAAGCATAAAATTTCCAGTTAAAAAAATACAAAATTTGCATTTTATAGCGTGCATTTGCACATTAAAACCTAGTCAATATTTCTAGGCTTCAAATAGTAAACGTTTGACATTTGGAATAACTCATAATGCATGATCAACAGAAGAAGTTTTAGTGAAACAAGACCAATAAAAGTAAACATCTAACATTTGTAGATATTTCAAGCACACTACCTGTGTTTCTGCACAAGAAAGATATAATAGAGGCTGCTTCAAGGAAAATGATGCAGGATCAACATCTTCAGTAGTATGATTTGTATTCCCATTAATAACAGCAGCTGTAATATTATCACATTCCATAAAGTCCATCTTGCCTGTAGTCGGAAATGGCTCGGTCTGGAAATTAAAACATGTAGCTAATCGAAGGTCGCAATAAATTGAAAAAGACTTCTCTGGCCTCACAAAGTATTTAAATTAAGATTCATTTTAAATTTTTTAAATGATGGCTTTGCTTCATAAACATAAACATAGAACAGAAACACATAGCATATGTTATCAGAAACTTGAGAAAAATGGAAAATGAAATAACTAGTTGAATGTGAAATGAAGAATGATTTCTTTCCATGGATCTCCCATCATTCTAAATAACCAAAAGGTTCAAAATATAAAAAGTTGATTTTTTTTTTTTTAAAGTTCATATCCTAAAGTTCATATCCTTCACATAAAACATAAACGATCTGTTAACTGAATAAAAATCAAAACTTTTATCAAAACAGGGCCAGAAATTTGATCCAAACAGTATAAATAGAAAATTGCAATTGTCAGAATCACAGTGCAGAAGCTGCATAACCGATTCTGCATGCTGGATTGATTAGATAATCATTTCCCCCTAACAAGGTTTAATTTTAGAATAAAGGGAACATAAACATACCACGGAATTAGAAGCACATATTGGCGAGCTCAGCAGCATTGTTGGGCTTATACCAGGAGGAATGGTAAGCAAAGGGGAACGATGATCTTTAGTTGTGAAAGGAAGCCTAGTTGTTTTCCTGATCTGCGATGTATCAAGGAATAAATTACGAAACCCAGCCCTTGCAGCAATTCTCTCAGACAATCCACCTCGGATGCTGGAATTTGATGCATTAGATGAGTTCATCTCTGTTAAATGTTCTTTTGAAAGCTGCCCAGGCTCACAATCCTGGTTCTCGTCCGGCTCTCCTGATTCTGGGAGAGATCCATCAGTTTTTTGCTCGGAATCATCAGAGATAAATCTAGAGCTACATTGTTTAGCTATGAAGTCTGAAAAAAATGTTCTTGGGCTAATGTTTGGAGATGGCCAGTCACCAATCACAGGTACATTGTCTTCCATCCCAGCCATATTATATCAACTCTTTTCAAGGGAGTTTGGAAGAAGACAACTCTGTAAACCTACAAAATATTATTTCAAAAAGTCATCATTTTCAAATCGAAGCGGAAACAGAGCAATTGTTAAAGAAGAAAAAAATGATGATTAAATTGAGTGATTGAAGGGAGAAAAAACCAAACTCCTAGAGCCTTTCTACAAGGAAACCCATAACAAGAAAAAAATCAGAGAAAAACATGAACTTTATATACTCAAGGAAGAAGGCAATCAAAGCAACGGATTAACAATCATAACAAGCGCACACCAAATACAGTCAAAAAAGCCCTAACATCAAGAAATAGAGCTAAATCCTATAAAACATTGCTTCAAGCGCGGGTGAAGCAGAAAACAAAAACAAGAAAAAAGGGGGGCAAAAGGGATCAAAAACAGAAAAAGATGAATATAACAAAGAGAAGGATGAAAAAAGCCTGAAAAAATGGAGGATTGGTGGAAGCAGGTATTGCTTAAAAAGGGGAAGGCCGCAACTTTGTAACAAGCCAGGCTAAGAAAATTCCCAAAATAGTTAAATTTATCGATACTGAAGAAAACAATTTCAAAAAAAAAATTTTTTTTGGGGGAAGAACTGCGAGATCTCAAAACCGCCAACTTTCCGGTTTAAAGCATGTTTTCTCAAGTAAAAAACTGGAAACTACGTCTTAATTACAATATTGATACTAGGAAGTTATTTGGCTCCTTTAAGTAAAAGTTATTTCATAGGGAGGCATTCGTATGTAAAGATGTATGCGCCGTCCGATCTCTATCGTTGATCAAAATTTTTATTATTTTTTTTTTAAAAATGACCTACCGAAATACAACTTTGATCTGATCAACGGCGGATACGCCGTCCATATGGAATAATTTTTCCTCCTCTAGGCCCCACGACTAAGCTGAAACTGGAACATGAACAGAGACATTAAGTTAAAATTGGGCTTAAATATTGAAGAAGGTATAATTTTTTTTATAAAATAAATGTACTTATTTTATTGTCAAATTTGTACCGTAATTGTGTTTTAATCAAACTGACTGATTTATATGTAATATTTTAGTTGTTTAAATATGCAACATTATTGCTAAATATAAATATATTAAGATAGTTTTCAACAAAATTGATGCATAATTTTTTCATTAAAAATACACACTATTTGCTCGTTATAATTACTTATATTTTGGTGAGTTTAAATATTAACAAGCTTAAATTAAAATTTAGATAGTTTTAATAGATTTTGATTTTTTATCATCTTAAATTATTATATTAGCTGATCCTCCTTGGTGTTATTATTGTTTTTTATATCATTATATTACTTTTAAAGTATACAAGTGGAAAAGAAGATGATATTGAAAATATAAATAAGTCATCAATCAATTCATTTTAAAATAGACAATTTTTATCTATTTATTAAAAAATAAATGTGCATATTCAAAAAATATAAATTAGCGCATTTCAAAAATAGTGCGAATGAATTATTCAAATTATTATAAATAGATTTTTAAGTATCTACTGTGATACATCACCAATGAATTTCATCCTTTGACATGAATCTTGAGATAATTAACATGAATTTCGAAGCATTTTTTTAATAAAATATTTAAAGTGAAATTAAAAATTATTCAGAACTCTTATTTCAACAAAATTACAGTCAAACGGCTTGACTCTGCGAGATGAACCCAATGACACAAAAATTGACCCAATCTGAGTCAAATCAAGTCCTAAACACGCCGTTAAACTATTATCGGAAGGTTTGTGTGGCTAATTAGAAGCTTAAATGATTTGTAAATTTGACAAACTTATAATCAAGTGTCTGAATGAGATTCAATTCTGACACCATCAATGCACATAAATGTTCATAGAATGTCATCCAATCAAGGGAATCATTTTGGGTCGTCTGATGGAGTGATCTGAGTTCTTGCCTTATTTACATAGAGGTTGGTTCTAGACTTTAAAAATAAGGCCATACTTTCTTTAAAGGGGAGGGAGACTTCGAACTAGAATTACACTGACAGAAAAAGGAGTCAAACTTTAGTATTATTTTGGATTGAATATTTGTCGAACACTTCCAGCGGCCATAACTCATTGATCACCATCGGCCTCCCCATGACCACAACTGATGTCGATGAATTCTATGATGCAATAATGCATCCAAAGATGGTGTAATAACACACCCCGAGTATGTTATAACTCCCCGCAATAACTGCTTGCAACTATCACATTCAAAATATGATGTCATTCTCCGAACTTTTGAAGTTCTCTCCTCATAGCTCCCTACTACATTTTATGTACTATAATTTCAACTCTTTATTATGTCCTATGGTCTACTTCATTTACTGCAGTTGTAACCCCTCATTACGGCCTTGGAGGCCAACTAACACTACTACAACTCACCACTACGCTCTACGTGATCCACAACTCATGCAGCTCTCAAGTCAGTCATTTGTGTCCTACAAATGTTAGCTCACCACTATGACCTATGTGACCAACTATGACCCACGTGGCCTCAACTCATGCAGCTCCCAACTTTAGCCTATGCATTTTACGAATTGTCGGCACTATTTTGGTTGGAGGAGTTGCCCGTTAGAAGCTGTCGATCGCCAGAATCAAAATCCCGTCGCCCGCTTCGGAAGGACATTTTAATTTATATATATATCGTCAGGTGGAGGTAATGTCACATCACATGATATATATATATATATCTACAATTTGAGAAAAATATGAAATCAAACCAATCTCATTACTTTCATAATATAAATGAAAGAGCACCACATCTCAAGCAATGTATCTATCTGAAAAAATAAACACATTACTTGATAGTGGAGCTCAATCGAATAAACTAGGAAATATATGACATTCGTTTGGTCTACCAAACCATTTTATTATAAGCTGCCAAGTTCCCTTGTTTAATATAAAAAATTAAATAGGGTTTATATTAAACTGGGTTTGGAAAAGCTTACTATAAGGGCAAGGCCCTATAATTAATTACATCTTAGATAACCGAAGTCACCTAAGAAAACTCTCAATAAAAATCTGGGGATATTATCTTCAATAAGTTCAATGGAATAGGGCTTTTAAAAAAGATCAGAGAAAGATGTGTGAAATGAGAATAACTCAAATTTGGAACATTTTATTGTAGAATCCAAAGGAGGAAAAACTAGGGAATGTCATAGATCCAGAGGAGAACCTCTGTGACTTCCAAGTCTATCCTATTGTTTGGCTTCAATTTGAGGAGAAATTATTTAGGTGTTTCATCCTGCCAATTTTATTTGTTAGGGCTTATATTCACGTGAAACGATCACACAAATAGCCTAAAAGATGTCAGGATTTAGTTCATGACAAACGGTAACCTCGAAATTCTAAGACGAGTTAGGGCTTATATTGTACAACAGAGCTGTACAAAGGCCTAAAGATGAGGTGAGGATTCATGTTGCATAAGCAATCAACCTCGAAATCCTATGACTTGGTTGTTTAATTCTAAGGAAGGAAATTGGTTTAGCTGATGTAGACGTGTGTTGTTGAGATGTCCGTGCTGCCCACAATGCTAGCTCCAAGCTCCTTGCCGTTACGCGTTTTACGAGTTTAAGTTTTCTAGTGTGTCAAGTTATGATGTCAAATCAGATGTTCCTATGATTGTAGTTCTTTAAATGTTATGGGGCATATTAAAGTTGATTAGAGCGACACCGGTTAGGATCTCACGGTTCCCTCGTTCCGGTACTACTATTTTTTATCGGATTCACTTAGTCCAAATGAATTTACTAAACTCAACTTAATGAGTTCCATACTTTTATTTAGACCTTGGGAAGCCTCGTTAGCAGCCGTAGGTTACCTCCTCCTAGAGATTCCCGGTCATCTGATAGAGATGTCTTAATTTAGTTGAAATGGTTATTTTGTGATGTTTGTGATTAAATTTTGAGTTATTTTATATTTTAAACTTTGTGGTGGTGAATTTTATCTTGGTTGATTTTAGTTTTGGTTTTGGTTTTTCGGCTATCCTAGTAGTTTTAGTTTTCGTGCAATGTGACATTATTGTTTAACATGCAGGTTTGTGTTTTTTGTTCATACATGCAGGTGAGTAAGTACAGTAACACATTGAAAAGTAAAGTACGGGAGACTAGAAATACAGGTAAAATAATAGCATACCTGGATGGTCTTCCCGTCATCTTCAACTGAAACTCAAAATGCATGTGAGAGCATTTATATGTTAAAAGCATTTTATGTAAAGCGGGGAAATAAGATTTTGGTGATCTACCAAATCCTAATTCATATCTTGGTGAGCTCCTATTAATTCGTTTGAGGATGATTTCATTAAGAAAAAGTTTAGTAGACCTCCGAGGTTTCCAAAAGGTCGGGAGAAAGAAGCAGGTCCATGCTTCCCTCCACCACCTGATGAAAAATCTCAAGCTCATTTAAACTTATTATGCTGTATAATAATTCATCCTGTAAATAGCTATAGTGTTCAGTGAATATCGATGTTTCAATTATTTCTAAGAGTTGGGTAATTATCATTTGTCATTTAATTTGAGAATTATGTGGGTGAAGACCTTTAAAAGGGGCAAGTTAATGCTATTAAGCCACTTAGTCAATTTCAGCCTTAACTTGGGCTTGTAGTGTTTTAAAGGTGTTTAATTTCTAGTTACATTCACTTTTCTAATCCTCATTTAACCAAATTTGATTTAGCCTAGGTTCTACTATGCCCTTAAGACCTTGGTGGACATATTAGTGATTTTTTTTGAAAGAAATTAAATTTTAAGCGATAGTAATTCATCATCAAAACGTTTGAATGTCATTTGAACACCAAATGGGGGTATTAAATTAGTGAGTTATTAACATCCAAAATCATACCCCTAAGTCTAGGATCATTTAATTTAATAGATCTCCAAATTTTAATGATTTAGGAAATTGAAAATTTATCCTTTAATTAAGAAAAGTGAAATTGGTCTCTGCCAATTAACTCCTTATGTTTCAATCATCTGAACATGTTAATCAAGATCAAAGTTTGCCCATCTTACCCTCTTGAATTAAGCCTAAATGTTAATTAGGGCTAGATTTTCAAAATCGCACTTTTACCCCTAAGGCTCTAGCACTTTATAATTCATCAAATTTAATTCAAATGACTTTAAAATTTTTATTCCACCTAACTCATGAG